TACCCTTTTTTTTTTTTTTTTTTTTGGTACTGGGGATTGAACTCAGAACCTTGCTTGCGCTTGCCATGCAGACGTGGTGCCCCTGAACTAAATTTCCAGCCCCCGTGATCCATTCTTTTAGATGATGATCTAGATTAGAAAAAGCTAAATAGTCATTTATTTGACAGAATTGGACTAGGACTCGATCATACCATTCCTATCAACTTCAAAACTGTATAAATTGTTACATGTATAAACACACACCTGGGGAGTTTCTAGAGGGACTCATAAGAAACTGGTTATGTGTTTGCCTATGGCCTAGGACAGTGATGGTCCTTTTAGAGCTTTCAGTGATACAAACAGCCCTATGCAGTATGTGTGCCATAGGTTCGCCATCACTGGTCTAGGAGCAGAGAATTAGAGTAGTAGGGAAACTTTTCATTCTGTATTCTTTTGTTCATTTGGATTTCTATCATATGCATAAATATAAGCAAATAACAATTTAATTGCTTTCCTTCTTATGGAAAAGTAATCTGAAGTACAGAATCATGGGAAGGATTAAGTTGGTGAACCGAAGTGCCACTGTATATAATACTCCAAGCACTAAAATCTGATTGAGTGGACTAAATATTATGCAGTTATTAGAATGTAGTCCAGGGCCAGCGATTTAGCTCAGTGAAGTATGCAGGTGACTGATGTTAGGCGGTATATTCAGAAATGAAAACAGTGTTGGGACTGTAAACAAATACTGTTTTTTCAAAAACTCTTTTGGGAAATTCAGTAATTCTTTAACTGGCTTATTTTTACTACTGCAAAATTAGCCTTTGAGGCCCAAGGCCAAGCCAGGATAAACAGGTCAGGTTCTTAAAGAGCAGGGTTTTGACTGGCAGAGTGAGGAGGAACGTAGAGAGTAATTAGCGGAGCAGTAGAACCATACCTTGCAAGAATGATGACAATAACTAGCCTGCAGTGCTAGGCCTTTCCTCTTCTGCCCATAATCCCCTTTACCTACCCCTTGCTAGTAAGCGGTGGTGTCATGAGTGGAATCAGAAGCTGGGTCCCTGACCTTCACCAAAGTGTGTACTCTTTACTGAGAGCTGTTCATAACTTGCCTGGCTGGCAGAGCAGTCTGCCTCTGCTTTCTTCGGGGCTGAGCCCTGCTGCTTCTGCCCCTTCTCTGTGCTCTGTTCTCTGCTCCCCCTAGAGCACCAGTGCAGAAGAGAGCACCTCTTCAAGGGTGAAATCTAATGCTCAACAGTCACAGCACCAGCCAGGTCACAGCACATGCCTAATGTGTCCGCCCCTGGGCCACTCACTTCCTGCCCCCCTCCTGCCCTTGTTTGCTTTGTTCCATTGCTCCTAACACCTGGAGTCCAGTTTTGTGGTATGAGGCTGGGAAGGAGTACAATTATCAGAAGTACTTATGCCACCCCTGAAAGTGCAGCCTAGGACAAATTCCAAATTTGTCACGCCCTTTTGGCTGTGATTTTTTTCTCTTATGACCATTCTCTAGGTTTTGTTTTTTTTTTTGTTTTTAGACAGGGTCCTGCTGTGTAATTCAGGCTGGCTTTGAACTCACTGTGTAGCCCATTCTTGCCATATGCACTTGGCTCTTAAGGCTTTTAGGGTTCCTCCCACCTGCTTTCCAAAGTGCCAGAACTGAGCTTTTCCCCAGAAATGCTTTTTTATTTTTCAAAGTTTTATTGTGTACCTGTAAGTATTATCTTTTTTTTTTTTTTTTTTTTTTTTTTTTTTTACTGAGGATTGAACTTGGGACCTTGTGCTTGCGAGGCAGGCGGCAGAACTACGGAACTTAATTCCTGGCCCAGTATCAGTTCATTTTAATTGTCAACTTGTGCCCAAATTTACAGAGATAATCCAAATGGAAGAGTAAAATAACTTTCTTGCAGATGTCATCTAATGACAGCGTGACCACTTACTTTTTAAACTGCCTAATTTGCTTTCTTGGGAACTCAATGGGGCTCATGCAGTCACAGCAAAGAGGCAGTGGTGATCTTTTATCCCTAAAAATCATTCCTAGGGGGAGGAATAAAGCCTCCATTGTTCAGTGCAGACCTAACTAGGTTTTCACAATAGAATCAGGTTGCTGTTCCCCAGGCTTTAATTCAGTTCAGGTTACCTACCCAGCAAGGCCAGCCTGAGACAAGCTGATTTAACAGGTACGAATTTTTTATCAAAGCATGCATTTTCATAGCCTCTGACTCATGGCATTGAAATGTAAAAGTCTCACTTTCTTTTTAAACTAAATTTGGCTTTGTTAAATGTCAACCATCTGACATTCAACACATTTGGGGGTGGTGTTGGGGGTCAGAGTTGGAGCCTTGCTCGCGCCAAGCGCACGGAGCTACATCCCCAGCCCCTATAACACATTCTGGATCAAGCCTAGAAATCATTCCCAAGAGCCAAGTTTGATTGCTCTTGTTGCATTTGCTAACTCCTCTACTTGGGCATCGCAGCTTTGTACTTTGACAGCGTAGAGCTGGCCTAGAGTAGCAACATCTCCCCATGTCGTGCACCCAAAAGCACTGGACAGTGGGTTGAGTGCAGTGTGCCTGGAGGCCTCCTTCCCTGGCTGGGACTAACTTTGTGCTCTTTAGTTTCCCACAGTCAGATCACTCGCCTCTACAGCCGATTCACCAGTCTGGACAAAGGAGAAAACGGGACCCTCAGGTAAGCAGTATTTTTCTTTATTTCCCTCACGGAAACTGGAAACTCTTGGCAATGTTTGAACAGCTGCCTTTATCCCAAGGACAGATACTGCTTTGTTGTTATGGTTGTTTTTTGTTTGGGGGGGCTTTTGAGACAGATCCCCGCTATGTAGTTCAGGCTGGCCTCAAATTCACAGTGATCCTCCTGCCTCAGCCTCCTGGGTGCTGGGATTACAGGTGTGTGCCACCATACCCAGATTGTTGTTGTTTTAGTTCTGGGCATTAAATGCAGGGCCTTGGGCATGCTAGGCAAGAGCTCTACCACTAGGCTATGTATATTTCCCCAGCCCTTTTCATTTATTTTGAGACAAAGTCTCACTAAGTTGCCTAGGCTAGGCTCAAACTTGTGACCTTTCTGCCTCAGCCTCCTAAGTGCTGGGATTTGAGGTGTGCACCACCATGCCTGGCTTTTTTTTTTTTTTTTTTTTTTTTTTGGTACTGGGGATTAAACTCAAGACCTTGCAGTTGTGAGGCAGGCAGTGGAACCATTGAGCTAAATCCCTGGCCCTTGTTTTGTTTTTTAGATGGCTGTCAGTATGGTGTCCAGACTGGCCTCTTGAGTAGCTGGGGTTGGGGTTAAGGTGCAAGATACCTGGCTTTTCTTTTAATTGTGGCAAAATACATATAAACAGCTCAGTGGTGTGAGGCACCTTCACAGTACTACCCATTGTCCCCCTTTTCCTGTCCCCCTTTTCCCAACTCCCCTGGCAAACAGTAATACACTTTCTGTCTCTCTGTGGGCCTTTCATAAAAATGGAATCATACAGTAAGTAACTCTCCTGGGAGTGGCTTCTTTTACTTAATGTGATGTTCCAAGACTCATGCATGTTATGGAATATCTCGTTACCTTGCCCCCTTGGTACTAGAGGTCAGACCCAGGAAGCACTGAGCTGTATCCCCACTCACTTTCAGACTATACACTGGCTGAGCTTCCCGACTGTAAGTTCTCAGCCTCTGGCCATCTTGTTGTCAGATTGCCTTTCTCCCAACCACCATGGCCGCTCCTAGCCCCTCTCCAGCCTTTAAGATTGTGTGTGGTGAGCCCTAAGCTCTGTAGCACAGAGCGGTGCAGCTCTCCACCCTTCACTGCCAGACTCTCTGCTCAAGGCCTGTCTTGACCTTTCTAGAGCTTATTAGGTTCCTTGGACAAATACCAGTGGCTTCCAATCTTTAGTTACTTGAAATCTGCACCGCTTTCTTAAGAACACAATGTTATGCTCAAGTTGCGAAGTCCCCAAAGACCACCAAGGAGTCAGGTCCGATGCAATTGCAAGAGGAGTTTTTTGCAAGCTCGAGCCTGGACTCTCAGGTGTCACCGTCACAGCGGCTTCAGACTGAGAGCCCAGATCCATTTTTGAAGCCAGTTTATATAGGATTAAGGAAACTTTTTGCTTATATAGTTTCTATTTTTAACTCTCACTTATTGGATAATTAGGGGGTACTGGAAGGGCTTTTACATATCATTGGATAATCAAGGGGCACCGGGAGGGCACTTATTGGAGAATTACCTAATGCTTACATTCGCAAAATCAATTCCTCTTTTTATTAGATCATCTGATCTTGCAAGCTAAGATAACAGTAGGTGGCTATCTATGTCAGCCATAATTAATTCCTATGTCAGCTATAACCAATTCCTATATTAATTAAATCAAACAAAAAGAAGTTTATCTTAACATCTTAAAAAGAGGAACAGAAGCAGGGTAGAGATGCCCTAGGATAACTTGCCCTAAAAAGAGGAACAGAAGCACAGAGAAACTGTCACATAGAATGATATTTTACAGAAAGGGACTTTTATATTTACCCTATTTTGGGTAAGAGGCTTGGAGCCCACCTTGACCTGGAAATGGTCCTTATAACAGGATTATTAAAAAAAAATACTTCTATTTATTTATTTATTTAATCTATTTAGAGAGATGGAGTTTCTCTATATTCCCCAGGCTGGTCTCAAAACTCTTGAGCTCAAGAAGTCCTCTTGTCTCTGCTTCCTGAGTATTGGGATTACAGGTGTGTATCACCACACCTAATTATTCTACTTTTTGTTAATTTCTCTTTTCCCAGATACTCCATGTCTGGGTCCTGCCTGAAGCCAGATTTGCAGAGGCTATAGTATACATCTTGGCATTCCTTTTTTTTTTTTTTTTTTTTTTTTTTTTTTTTTTTTTTTGAGGATACTGGGAAAAAACTTGGCCTCTACCTGTAAAATGGACCATCATCCCGAGGGGTGGGCATTTTTCCCACAGGTTTCTGCCCCCGCAAGAAAATGTGTTATCAGTTCCAGAATAAAACACAGCTGTGTTGAGGGCCCACCCTGTAATTCTTTGAGTGTGTACTTTTAAAATTCTACTTAATAAATCTCTTACAGTCTCTTAAAAAAAAGAGAGCAATATATTTGTTAGTCTATTCAGAGATGTGTTAAAAATGAAAGAAAGGGGCTGGGGATTTAGCTCAGTGACACTGCATCTGCCTCAAAGTGCAAGGTCATGAGTTCAGTCCCTGGTATGAAAGGAACGGGGGGGGACCTGCAATTCACAGTGTTAGAATGCTTTTCTAGTATTCATGAGGTCTTATGTTCAATCCTCAGCTCTGCCAAAAAAAAAAGAAAAAGTTATTGATTAATATTGTGAAAAACTTGGTAAAGAAGATTAAAGAGGCTTTTCTTGTGATAAGATTTCACTATATCTTTAAACATACTCAGTTGGAATTGGGACTTTCCAAGGAGGAATATTGTAAACCGTATTTGCCAAGTTCATTTGCTTTTTTCCTTGTAGGCATTCTGTTACATGGACAACCTCTTTAGGTTGCTATTTCACAGAATATAAATATATACTGTACCTTTAAAAATCTTTCTTCAGATGCCATTGTCATTGGTTTGGGTATTCTATTCTTGGGCTCCAGCACCAATGGGAAGTGGCTTTTCAAAAAAATTGTACTGGGAGGGCCAGGGATTTAGCTCAGTGGTTCCACCACCTGCCTCATAAGCACAAGGACCCTAGTTCAATCCCCGGTACCAAAAAAAAAAAAAAAAGCACAAGGCACAAGGTCCTGAGTTTGATCTCCAGTACCGAGAATACATAAATCAAATTTTACTGGAGATTGAACCCAGAGCCTTCATGCTGAGCTACAGCCCTTTTGTTATTTTATATTTTGAGACAGGGTCTCACTAAGTTCAGGCTAAGCTCAAAGTTGTGACCCTACTGCTTCAGCCTCCCAGAATGCTGGGATTACAGGTATGTACCATCATGTCCAGCTGGCCTGTTGCTTTTTTTTGTTTTAGATGGGCAACAATTAGGATTTATTGGTGGGCATGAGTAAGGAGGTGGCAGCGCTGTGCAGCCTTCATGAGTGCAGGACTCGCCACTTGCCCAGAAGGTGTGGTTAGGGACATACGTATTTGACCCTATAGCTATCTGACATAAGCCTCTCCTCAGACACCATCTCTTCACATTCATCCACATTAAACTTGGTAAAATGCTCCTTCAAGGTGTATGTCTTCTGGTGGACAGAGGACTTGAACTTGACTCTATGTAGCTTCTCAATTACATGCTGTCTGTTCTGCAGCTTAGGGCAGATGGACGTGACTCGGTCGTGAGAATCCTGGCCACCGTGCTGTTTTGCTTTCCAAAGTTGCTCGCCATAACTGATGAACCTAGATTAGGGGCAGCATGATGTCAAAGACATGAAGGAAAGGGCTGTCTCTAAAGTCCCAAAGGCAACCTGTACAAGGCACTGTTCACCGTGGAAGAAGCTGCTGTTTGTAGCCATTGACATTGGGGCCCCTAAGGCCCATTCTTTAAAATGTCTTTAATTACTTTAAGTGCTGCTTCCCTCACCTGACAGCTGACTGGTGCCATGCTGAGATTCTGAAGAATGACTCAGATCTGCTGCGGCCTTTCTGCTTGTCACTGAAGAGAATGAAAAGGAGAGGGAGACGACTTTCATAGTGAAGGAGATCAGTGTAGAAGGATGGCAAGCCAGGTGTGATGGTGTGCGCCTGTGAGCCCAGCTACTTAGGAAGCTGAGGAAGGATTACAAGCTTGAGAGTGGCCTGAACAACTTAACAAGACCCTGTTGCAAAATTTAAAAATACACAAAAAGTCTGGTGCCAAACATGGTGGTGTATGCCTGTAAATCCCAGCACTCTGGGAGGCTGATAGAGGAGGATTGCAAGTTTGAGCGCAAAATGAGCAATTTAGATACTTAACAAGATCCTGGCTCAAAATAAAAAACAGAAAAGGGCTGGTGATGTCGTTCAGTGCAAAGGCCCTGGGTTCATACCTGAGAACTTGGCGAGAGGGGGACCTCATGCTATAGTTTAGGGGCTTGCCATTTGGCTCACATGTGAGCCCCTGAGTTCAACGCCAGGATTCAGGGAAGAGGGCCACCTCTGCCTACTAGCTAGCATTCTCAAAATATGTTTTTTCAGAAATCCCTGCTCACTTTAATGTCTGGAAAACCATTCTTCACTTAGAATTTCCTGCCTACAAAGAATTCGTACTTGATTTTAGCTTCAGACTTGCCTACTATCAGTAATATTTTTTTCAGGAGCCGGGTATGGTGGTGCATGCCTGTAATCCTAGCACTTGGGAGGCTGAGGCAGGAGGATCACCACAAATTCAAGGCCAGCCTGGGCTACATAGTGAGAGTTCAAAGCCAGTGTGAACTACACAGTGAGACCCTGTCTCAGAAGAAAAAAGGAATATTTTCTGAGTTATGCTATGGGAATATGATGTTGCTATATTTTATGGTAAATACACACAAATCTATAATTCAAATGACTTATACAGTCGGCCACATTCAAGTATTTTTTCTCTGGTGGGGCTATGTTGGTGGGCAAATTTAAGAAGCTAACAATAGTTGTACGTTTAACAGTTGAAAAACTATTTTTTTATACTCTTGCGTTTAAATTTTGATACTTTCAGTAGTATTCCCCTTGGTCTAGTAATTGGGACTGCATTGTATATACAACCTAAAAGCTAAGACTAGATGCAAATAGTATCAGGGCTGCCTGCCTCCCAAGTGCGAGGTCCCAAGTTCAATCCCTAGTGCAAAAATATATATGTGTGTGTGCGTGTGTGTGTATGTATGTATGTATGTATGTATATAATCAAAGGGCAGGGCTTAGGTCCTTAATTGGATCCTGTTATTGAAACTTAAGGGATTCAGGCAAAGTTGTGCACCCACCACTTGTTAGGAGACCTGGTTTGAACTGTGTCTTTTCTTGGCTAAAATTCCTTAAACTTGTTTGATATTAAACTGCCATAAGTAGCTAGGCGTGGTGGCGCACACCTATGATCCCAGCACATGGGAGGCTGAAGCAGGAGGATAGATGTAAGTTAGAGGCCAGCCTAGGCTACATAGTGACTTCAAGGTCAGCCTACAACACAAAGTGAGACTCTCTCAAAAAAATAAAATATAAACAAACTGCAGTAGGTTTCCATGGCGGCCATGCAATTCAAATAATTTTTAAAAATTTTTTGTTACTACATGTTTGTAGTACATAATGATTACATTCACTGTGGAGATTGGGTACATGTACATAACACATGTTAATTCTTTTGTTTTGTACCTGGATCAAACTGAGGACCTTGTACTTTCAAGGCAGGCAGCAAAACCACTGAGCTAAATCCCCAGCCCACGTAGGAATTCTTATTACATTCCCTCCTCTCCCTTCCCTTCACCCTCCCTTATCCTTAAGCATTATTTAAAAGAGTAGTGTTTTTGTTGACAGGGTCTCACTATGTAGTTGAGACTGACCTGGAACTCACTATGTAGCCCAGGCTGGTCTCCAACTCACAGCGATCCCCCTGCCTCAGCCTCCCAAGTACTGGGATTATAGGCATGCACTACTATGCCTAGTTTAAAAGAGTAGTGTTTCTTAACCTCTGTCGTACAAGGGGAGGTACATATTGGTGATAATTTGGATTTTGTATTACAGGAAAAATTACATAATAAAAGTTCAGTACATGTTTTTTCAGATCATCTTTTTTCATCTCTAGCAATCCAGTTATGAATGGCTTCTTTGAGTTTATTCATTGTTATACAATTATTACCCTAAATGATCAAGAAGATTAAAATCTAAAGTCACTGTTCCAAGGCTTTGTGCTCAGTTGAGGAGGTCAGTTTCCACCTGTCACCACATGTAGGGAAGAGCTGGTTAAATTAATTAAGTACCAGTGGGCCAGGGATTTAGCTCAGTGGTTCTCCTGCCTACCTGGAAAGCCAAGGTCCCAAGTTCAATCCCCGGTAACAAACAAACAAACAAAATTAATTAAGCACCATATAGCAGGGCGTGGTGGCTCATGCCTTATAATCCCAGCACTCAGGAGACTGAGGCAGGAGAATTGCTATGAGACTAGCCTGGGCTACATAGTGAATTCCACGTCAGTCTCAACTATATACTGAGACTCTTGTCTCAAAAAACAAATGAACAAACAAAAAAGTCCATATTCAGTATGGTTCATGTTTATTTTCACCTATCACCCAGTGATGTCCTTTAATGGCAATATTTTTTTTAGTCCGAGATCATATAGATAACTATTGTTAGTTACTCTTGATCTGAAACAGTCTTCTGCCTTTCTCTTTGTCTATGTTTGGTGCTGGGAATGAACCCAAGGCCTCACATGTGCCAGGCAAACACTCCATCACCAAGCTGCACCCCCAGCCCCTATTATGTATTTATTATAGTTATGTGGTAAAAGACGTGCAACACTCCCTGCTGTGACAACGGTATTTTTGAAGACTATAGCACACACCAGTACGCACCTGTAATCCCAGCTACTCCAAGGGCTCAGGCAGAGAGTGTAGGTCTGTGGCCAGCCTGCACAACTTAATGAGACCTGTCTAGAAATAAAAAGGCCTGAGTGTGTAGCTCAGTAGTAGAGCAATTGCTTAGCATGCAGAAGATCCTAGATTTAATCCCCAGTCCCCCACCAAGGCAAAAAAAGTAAATATATGGGTGCTATACCTTTTTTTTTTTTTTTTTTTTTTTTTGGCTGGGAAATGAACTCATGGTTTCATGCACACTGGATAAGTGCGACACCACTGAGCTATGTCCCCAGATAGATTTTTAGACAGGCTTGTATTCTTGGCACAGGGCATCAACCAAAGAATTTTTTTCAAAAATTACCTGGGGTTGTGACTCAGAGTACTTTTTTTTTTTTGTAACTCAGAATACTTGCTTAGCAAGCTCAGCATGCTAATTGGATGCAATCACCAGTGTGCAGACAAAACAAAAACCTGTTTAACAGTTTTGTTTTCTCTCTCTCCTTTTCATGGTACTGGGGATTGAATCCATGTCCTCAAACATGCTAGAAGTGTACTCTCGCAGCCCTATTGAATGTCTTTGTTACAGTGACTTCCTTTCGCCAAGTTTAATATGAGAAAGACTGAATTTTTTTTTTTTTTTTTTTTTTTTTTTAAATTGAGAAAGAGAATACATGTCCTGACTTAAGCGTGTGGATCACGTTTCTGCCAGTTAGTAGTTGTGGTGAGGGCAAGTTACTTCATCTCACTGACTCAGTTTCCTTGCTTCTGACAGGATATAGGATGAAGTGCTGGCATGAAAGGAGGAGGTAATGTGAACAGAGTAGAGCAGCTCCAGGAGCCGCACAGCCACCCTCTTACAGGAGGGGGCCCGTTTGCATCTCCACTGAGGGTTAAGTGCTCTAGCTGTAGTCTGTAGAAGGGAATAGAGAAAACCAGGAAATATGGAAACAATTTGGTTGTAAAGCTGATACCTTAGATCAAACATCACCCAAGAATTCCTTGTCTTTCATAGGGGCTGAATTGAAACCCCCCTACCACCACCAGGGCCTTTGCACCAAGCTATATTCCAAACCCTTTGTTTATTTTTGGTTTTTGGTTTTTTTGAGACAGGGTTTTGCTGTGTAGTTCAGCTGGCCTTGAACTCACTTTGTAACCAGGCTGGCCTGGAACTTGTGGTGGTCTCTTGCCTCAGCTTTCCAGAGCTGGTATTAAAGGCATGGGTCACCATGCACCGCCCAAGGCCTTTTTACTTTTGTTTTGAGACAGTCTGGATAAGTTGCTGAGTTGTCCAGGCTCTGCTCATACTTTCCATGCTCCTGCCTCAGCCTCCCAAAGTGCTGAGATTACAGGTCCACTGTTCCCAGCTTTGAAACTTGCTTGAAGAAGCTGTGGAGTTCGATCCCCGGTACCAAAAAAACAAAACAAACAAACAAGGCTGTGAAGGTTCCTCCAAGTGTTTATCTTGTATTCAGATCCTGTGATATTTGCTACCTCTCATTAGCCATTCACTTTCCAAACTTAATAACAGGTACAGAATGGTAATGTTCAAAGAATCATTTACTAAAGAACAGCCTAGTACTCGCACATTAGTTGGCTTATTGACCTGTGCTGAGTTCACTGGAATGTGGCACAATCAGATTCAGTTTCTTCCTCCCCTCGTTGGTGCAAGAAACTCTTGGCAGCTGTTGAAGTGCTGTTCTTTGCAGTTATTTGGTATAATTGTCACAGAAGTCATTTCTGGAAAATGATTTTTTTGTTAGGTCTTACCGTGTTTCAGACTAAAGGAATTCATACCAAGGGCCAAGGGTCTCTAATGAAAGGTGATTGTCTTGGCAGCCGGGAAGACTTCCAGAGAATTCCAGAGCTTGCCATCAACCCACTGGGGGACCGGATCATCAATGCTTTCTTTCCAGAGGGGTGAGTTACAAGAGACATCCCTGATTTTGTCATGTCTAGATTATATCTTTTGTTCTGCTCTCCTCCCTGTTTAGTTTGGTTTGGTTTGGTTTGCTTTGGGGCTTTTTGTTTTTGAGACAGGGCCTTGCTGTGTAATTCAGTCTGGTTTTAAACTTACTATGTAGCCCAGGCTGGCCTTGAACTCCAGGCAGTCCTCCTGCCTTAGCCTTCTAAGTGCTGGGATTACAGATGTGTGCCACCATGCCGGGATTTTCCTCCCTGTTTTAAACTTCAGTATGTATAAGAGTATATCTTCAAAATTCTATCTTTACTCTCAGTTTATCATTGACATAAAAGGACCTTTTAGAAACTTTTGTTTGGAAATAATATCAAATTTACAAAGAAGTTGTAAAAAGATTACTGAGATATTTTATATTTTTTCATATTAAAAAAATTGAAATCCAATGTGCAATTTCTCCTCTGCACTCTTCACACACTTACACTTTCCCCTCTCTCCCCTTGTTCTGTGTGTACATACATACGTACACCTACGTATATACATATACCTTTTTTTTTTTTTTTTTTTTGCAGACCTGGGGATCAAACCCAGGACCTTGCACTTGCCAGGCAGGAGCTGGCACCACTGAGCTAAATCTCCGGCTCTACACGTACATTCTCCCATTCCTTTTCTCTTTGTGTTCACATAATTATATTCCTGAGCTGTGAACTTGCGAGCAGGGTACATAGTCATGGCCCTTGGCTAAGAATAGGGACCGTCTTTTACCACTTCTTTATTTCTTTTTCATAGTGCTGGGGTTGGAACCCAAGGCCTCATGCGTGCTAGGAAAGTGCTCCACTACTGAGCTATATCTCCTGGTTCTATACTTAGCATTGATAAACTATGTCTAATTATTATTCTTTTATTTACTTATGACCCATTACCCTGATCTGTTGCACTCTTATCTTTTTGGCTCATCTAGTAATCCTCTTTCTAGCACTCACCCCTCCAGTATAGGATCTAGTCTGGGTCACTCGTCATGTCTCTTTAACCTCCTGTAATGGAACATTTCAAAGCTTTAATTTTATTTCCATGGTACTTACTAAGAATACATTTCCTTCCCACTCAACGTACCTACTTTTTAAAGTACCATACTGTAAATTGTTTCTTAACTTGTGTTTGTCAACACAGAGCTAGACTGGGGATGGGGGCAGTGCTGGCTTGAATCCAGGACCTGATGCATGCTAGGCAAAGCATTCCACCATGAACTGCATCCGCTGTGTACCCCCTATCCATCCTTCCCTTCCTTTTGTTTCTTTTTGTCACATGGCCTCACTGAGCTGCTCAGGATGGCCTTTTTACAATCCTGCCTCAGTCTTCGCAATAGCTGAGTTATAGACATGTGCCAATATGCCCAGTTTATAACTAGACTTTTGATGTGCTTTGCTCCCTCACGCATTGTCTTTAGAGTACTAAGAACTTATTAAGCTTACAATATGGTCTTGCTTTAAGTAATCTCCTAAATAATCTCTTTGTGGTTCCATGTGAATTGTTTGTTTAACCCAGTGGTCTTTAAAATGTTGTGTAGGTGCCAGTTCTTCTTTTGTTGTTTGTTTGTTTGTTTGTTTGTTTGAGACAGGGTCTCACTATGTGGTTGAGACTGACCTGGAACTCACTATGTAGCCCAGGCTGGTCTCAAACTCACAGTGATCCTCCTGCCTCAGCCTCCTGAGTGCTGGGATTACAGATGTATCGCACCATGCCATTTTGTCTTCTTTTGTGTTTTTGAGACAGGGTCTCTATGTAGCTCAGGTTGGCCTTGCACTCACAGAGGTCCTCTACGTCAGCCTCCTCAATGCTAGGATTATAGGTGTGCACTAGCATGCCCAGCTGATGCCAGTTCTTAATAATGAGTTTGTTGGGGAGGACACTATCAGATAAAATGCCTGGAGAAAAAGTTTTAGGACTCTGATTTAAGACTTGAGATGCTGTATTGGGAGTGACTGCTGGGCATGGTGGCACTGGCCAGTCATTCCAGCAGCACTTGAGAGCCAGCCTGGGTTACAGGTGCTATCTCAAAAAAAAAAGAAGAAGAAGAAAATGGAGGTGGGGAGGCTGGCACTCAGTTTTTTTAAAGACTGAAGCCTGTTCTTTTCAAATGCATGTTGAGCCATAATAACCTCACTCTTTCATCTCTCCCACATTTTTCCTGGTCTTTTTCTCTCTCTAAACTGCCTTGACTGTTTCAGGTGTGGTTTCTGTGCCAAATTCTTTCATTTTTCTTCTTCCAATTCCAGTGCCTGCAGAGCATTCACTCCTGTCCAAAGGTAATGCCCACAGGAATGCTTTGTACCCAGACTTTTCACAGTGGACCAGAAACCCATAGAAATCTCTCTGCCAAGTGTTCCTCACATTTCCTTAGTCACTCTGATGACTTGAAGAAGCAGCCTGGAAAAATCTGTTTATTAGGCTGAGCACTGGAATACTCTTTACACCTACCCCTCTCTCCCGGTCTCCGGCAAGAAATCTGGGTGGGGGCAGATGAGGAAGCAGCAGACAGACAGCCTGGGGATGCTGTCTGGACTGGCTGTCTGCACCTCTGCTTCCTGCTTTACCAAGCTAATGTCTAGCCCTGGGGCTTTCATTTCTCCTTTAGTCTTACATGGGTTTTGCTTTCCTTTTGTTCTTTTTAAGTTTGGGATTTGATAGTAGACCATTTGTAATTATTTCACTTATTTAGAGATCTTATGCTGAGTCATCTGAATATTCATTAACCTGTTTATTCTGGCATTGACTCAAATTTACTCCGTATTACTTGGCTCCTCAGATTTTACCTTTGTGACCAGGTACTGTTTCATTAGCAGCTACCTGGAGAAACTGAAGTACTGTAGAGTGAACTCATAATCTGGCTTTGAACTCTGCTGTAGAAGGTCTGAACTGTGTGTCTGCCTGGCACATAAGAGACCTGCACACCTTATCTAATCAGAGGGACGTGCAAAGACTAGAACTTTTCTGAGGTAGTTAACAGGAATCACACTATCTACTCTTTCCATGACTGCCTTAGATAAATAAGCAGTTTATTAATAGAGAAATAAAGATGGGCCAAGGGATTTAGCTCAGTGGTTCCACTGCCTGCCTTGCAAGCGCAAGATCCCGAGTTCGATCCCCAGTACACTCCTCCCCCCAAAAAAATAGAGAAATAAAGAATGTGACATGAGACTTTTTTTAATATTAAAGGACTTTTTTTTGTTTTGTTTTTTGGAAGGAGGATCTCACTATGTATTTCAGGCCCGCCTTGTACTCACTATGTACCTGAGGCTGGCCTCAAACTCGCAGTGACCCTCCTGCCTCAGCCTTCTGATGTCATCATGCTCAGTTTAGTGCGTTCTTCATTTATTCAAGTTTTAGAAGTATTTCTCTTAGGGTTATTGATTAGCCTGTAGTACAATAAAAAGATTTTCTCTAGCTGGGCGTAGTGGCACATACCTATAATCCCAGCACTCCATAGGCTGAGGAAGGAGGATCACCAAGAGTTCCAGGCCAGTCTGGGCTACATAGTGACTTTAAGGCCAGCCTAACCTACACACTGGGGGGGGGGAGAAAGTTTAAAGAGCTCAAGTTACATAATTACCTATTCAGAATATTTATGATTATCTAGAAAGCAAAGAAAAATTAATGGAGAGTAGGGGAAAAGAAAAAATAAGAGAAAAAGAAAAAATGGGAACAAAGTCTTTGTAAATAGGGAAAGGCAGGCAGCAGAATGGGGAAAAAATAAGAACCAAGATACATCATACAAAGAAAGGTACACAATCCCAAACATGAATGTAACTGTACTATATACCTAAAAAGTACCAGTAAACTAAATGCAAAAAAAAAAAAAATGTATTCATATTTCAGCTTGGGTATACATAGCTCAGTGGGTTGGATCCCCAGCACAACAAAAAACAAACAAACAAAAACACCCTGATTGACATGGCTTTCTGTTTTTAATTATTTCCCATCCAGAGAGGACCAGGTAAATTTCCGTGGATTCATGAGAACTTTGGCTCATTTCCGACCCATTGAGGATAATGAAAAGAGCAAAGATGTGAATGGACCAGAACCGCTCAACAGCAGAAGCAACAAACTGCACTGTAAGGAGCTGGAGGCACCTGGCATAAAGTGCTTGCTTTGCATTTCTTACAAGTCTTGTATCTGACAACATTTTCACCAGCAGAGTGTTGGAAGCACTTGGCCCCTGAGGCTGCACTGGCTGAGTTGGAATCCCAGCTATACCACTTTTTGGCCACAGAACTCTGGGCAGGTTACTTAAGATCTCTGAGCCTCAGTTTCCATTCTTGAAAAGTGATATTAAGGGATTCTGCAGGAGATCATCATAAGGATTAAATGGGGGTGTGTTTGTTTATTTTTTGAGAGAGGACCTGGAACTCATGGTGATCCTCCTGCCTCAGCTTCCCAAGTGCTGGGTTAGTTACAGGCATGTGCCACCACCCCCAGTGGTTTGAAAATGTTAAAAAGAATAAAAATACGCCAAGTGCTTTAAACAGTACCTTACATATAATAATTATGCTGTAAGTATTACCTGCTTTTGTTTTGTTTTGGTTTGTTTTTTTTGCTTTGGTTTGGTTTCTGAGACAGAATCTCCCTGTGTAGTTTAACCTGGCTTTGAATTCACTTGTAGCCAGGCTGGCCTCAAACTCTTAGCAGTCTTTCTGCCTCAGCCTCCCAGGTGTTGGGATTACAGAGTGCTGGGTCACACCACATCCAGCCATCTGCTATTATTGTCATAATTGGCTGTTCACCTACTGAACGCCAGAGACTGTTTTAAAGTACTAGAATGACAGTAGCAAACAAGACCTAGTCCCCACCATTAAGACATAGTGGCAGTTCTCTACTTGCCTCAGAATTTCTTAGCTGTGGATATGACTAAGTGTGAGCCTACAGCTGGATTAGTGCAGTATTGAATTTTTGTCCCCATTTTTACCTTTTGCCTCCTATACTTGGACATCCACTGAATTTCACTTCTGCCCCTGTTGACTCATGTGATATTGCTGAATCCCTTACAACATTTTTCCAGGAAGTTGAAATTGAATTTCTCTTTCCTTTCAACACAAGTTGAAATAAAAGCACTAAAATACTGTCCAACCTTATCATAAGATTATGTTGCTTAAAGAGAAAAAACTGAAGTGCAACAAAATTGAGTATAGAAAAAAATTTTAATGTATTATCCTTAAAACTCTTTGATAGCTCATATTTATTTGTGAATTCCAGTTCCTTATTTCAAGTCTAACTCCTGTTTGAAGCCAGCCACGGTGGTGCACACCTGTAATGCCAGTGCTTGGGAGGATGAGGCAGGAGGATTGCTGCAAGTTCGAGGCCATCCTGTGTAGCAAGCCTCTGTCTCAAACCCCACCCAAAAGAATCTTTTTAAAAAATATGTAAATACTGTTGGAAAAAGAATAAAAATATATAGTGTTTGAGACAGAGCTTTGTACCAATGGTTTGGTAAGCATTTTAGCATATATTTAGTACATGTTTGCCTGATTCTGATATTAATATGGTAGAAATTTTCTTCTTTTTTTTTTTTTCTTTTTGGTTAGTGGGGATCAAACTCAGTACCTTGCGCTTGTGAGGCAGGCAGCAGAACCACTGAGCTAAAGCCCTGGCCTCTTTTGATCAGGGGTTGAAAAATTCAGCTACCACAAAAAATCATGAAAAAGAATACATGCTTTAGCATTTTATTTTACTTGAAAATATTTAAAGCACATTCACTTAGCAGTGTTTTGATGTAGAGGCATGCTGTGTTTTGTTGTGTGATTCTTGTCCAGAACTCATGCACACTGCACAGTGTAAGGTTTCTAGCAGCAGTGTTCCTAGTTCTGGGGAGCAAATCCCAGGCTTTATGCATGGCAGGCAGATGCTCTGCCGCAGAGCTTATACCTCTAGCTGCAGTTTATAGGAAAACCCCGCTTGTGTTTCTTCTCTTGTCTTTTTCAGGGGTGAGGTTCTAGTGATCCAACCCAGGGCCTTCCACATAGTAGGGAAGAGCTCTAACACTGAGCTCCAATCCCAGCCCTATGGCTGGAGTTTCTTAAAATGTGGAGAACCTAAAAATGTAGCCCAGGCTCACCTTGAACTCACAGCGATCCTCCTGCCTCAGCGTCCTGAGTGCTGGGATTGCAAGCGTGCATCACCACACTGGGCTCAGATACAGAATTTCAGATTTGCAAATTGAAAAAGTTCTGGAAATTGGTTTCACGATAGTATGAACATATACAACTATATTGAATTATAAAGGTTTAAATGGTGAAGGTGGAATTGTTTGTTTTTGCAGTACAGAGATTAAGCTTAGGGACTTCTTGAGCTACATCCCCAGCCCTTTTTGGATTTTGAGACAATCTTACCGTGTAGTCCAGGCCAGCCTAGACAACATAGTGATACTCTGTCTAAAAAACAATCTTTGTCATAATGGTGGTTTTCAGTGCCCTCAGACTTAAAATTGTGTTCTTATAGATGTGCACTGATGTACCTCTGGGCTCCATGGTGCAGCCAGCTCGCTTTGTGTGTTCACACCTGTTCTCATGCTGAGTGGAGTACTGCCTTTGCTGTAGCCCAGTGGTGCGTTGGTGTGGGTAAGGGTAGAGGTGCTCCAGAGCAGGCAGTCACCATGCATGGTGACATCACTTTAGATGTATCCCTTGTTCCCGTTCAAGTACAACAATTTAGTATATCCCATTTATTTTGTTAGATTAGTCCAAATATGGAGCCTTAGGTCATACCACTACACTAGCAGCCTCTTTTTTGGTGTACCGCAGTTGATATCTTTTGCGGGGGGGTACTGGGGATCGAACCCAGGGCCTTGCACTTGGAAGACAGATGCATCACGATCGAGCTAAAGCCCCAGCCCCACTATCTTTTGAATATTATAGCCAGCTGTGCACACAGAAAACTAAGGCAGACAAAGTATCTTCCTATAGTGCGGCATGCTTGTAATCCCAGCACTTTGGGAACCTGAGACAGGACGGTTATAGGTTCTAGCCCAGCCTGGGTAACTTAGCCACTTAGTGAGACCCTTAGCTCAAAATAAAAAGGGCTGGGGATATAGCCCAGTGCAAAGGCTGAGGTTCCATCCCTAGTACTCCAAAAGAAAAAAAAAACTGAGATCTGTTTTATACCAACAAAAGCCATGGAAGGACTATGCATAGAGAAGCATGTGAATGGATTGGTCTTTTGTTTTTACTCTTTTTTGAGGGAGGCAGGATCTCATTATGTGACTTGGGCTGCCCTCCACCTCCTGGGCTCAGATAGTGTCTTGCCTCAGCTGCCATAGTAGCTGGTAGTACACACATCTGTCAGGTACAGGTGGTTCATACTTGGCTTATTTTTACATTTTATTTGGGGATAATTAGATTGACAGAAAGTTGCAGAAATATGCAGAAGCAGTTTCCACACACCCTTCATCCCGGCTACCGCAGCAGTAACAACCTTATAACATCAGAGCGAGGAGACTGACACTGATATGATCCGGAGCTTGTTCACAGTTATCCACAGAGGCGTGTGCGTCATTCTGTGCAGTTCTATAACCTAGAACCTATGTGTCCACCACCACATTCAACAAACAAAACCAGGGGCCAGGGATTTAGCTCAGTGGTTCTGCCGCGTGCCTCACAAGCGCAAGGACGTGAGTTCAATACCTGGTACAAAAAAAAAAGCAAATTTTTCTTTTCAGACAGGGTCTTGCTAAGTTGCCTGGCAGAGTTTGAATTTGCCATCCTCCTGCTTCAGCCTCCTAGAGTGCTAGGATTATAGGCGTGTACCATTTTGCCTGGTTGCCTCTCAAGTATGTTGCCTCCAGACATCAGAACATCTGTGTAATTCTAAAGAAGATTAGGTTGTAAAAAAACCATCAAAAAAATTTACATTAAGTTCTTCTTCTTAAATTGTGTTCCTTAGAACACTAATAGCTTTTGGGAAAACTGCAATGCACGTTAGAACATTCAATTTAAGAACTGTATGGTAGGACCTGGGTTGTAGCTCAGTGGCAGTGCATCTGCCTGGCAGGCACAAGGTCCTGAGTTCAGTCCCTGGTACCAAAACAAAACAAAAAATTATAGGGTCTTATTTTGTTTGTTTGAGGTTTTTTTTTTTTTAATAACTTTTATCCCATTCCCCCATCATCCCCCTGTTTTGTTGTTTTGTCTTGTTTTTGTATCTTAAAATTAAATGTGTTTCTACAAAAGCTAGGAAATCTTCCAGAGAAATCTCACATTACCAGGGATAGTCCCCGTCACAACAGTGAGCTTTTCCCCTCGTCCCCTCTAAGCTATGCTCACATCTGTTTTTATCATTTCAGGCAATGGGCACAACTCTTGCAGAAGTCAAAAACTCAAATGCCGATAGGGAATCTGGGCGTGAAGTGCACACATGTAATCTTCAGCACTCCAAAGCTGAAGTAGGATTACAGGTGGTCAAGGCTAGTGAGACCCTGGGCTGGGGATTTAGCTCAGTGGCATCACGCCTGCACAAGCAAAAAATACTGAGTTCTATCCCCAGTACCAAAAGAGAAAAAAAAAAAAGTAGGAAGCGGGTTAGCAGTCTAAGCAGGTGAGGCGTGTAGGGCGGAAGGCCGAGGACTTCTTTTTCTGATACAGGGTCTCACTGTGTAGTACAGGCTGGCCTAAAACTCACTGTATAGCCCAGGCTGGCCTGTTACTTGCTAAGATTCTCACCACACCTGGCCCTTCTATTTATTTATTTTTTCATGTGATATACTTGGGTGGACACTGATCTTTAGACATTCTAATTACTAATAGATGAGTTGAAGGTTAAAAATGCCAGGGTTGGACTGGGGATTTAGCTCAGTGGTGCTGCTGCCTACCTTGCAAGCTCAAGGTCCCAAGTTTGATCCCAGGTACCTTAAAGGGGGGCGTGGGGCTGGGGATTTGGCTCAGTGGTTTCGCTGCCTGCCTCACAAGGGCAAGGACCCAAGTTTGATTCCCAGTACCAAAAAAAAAAAAAAAGAGAGAGAGACAAAGTCACCAAGTGTAATGGTACATGCCTATAGTCCCAGCACTAAGGAGGCTGAAGCAGGAGGATTGCTGTGAGTTTGAGGCCAGGCTGAACTACATAGCGAGACCCTGTCTTAAAAAAACCAAACCATGGGCCGGGATTTAGCTCAGCGGTTCGGTGGCCTGCCTTGCAAGCACAAGGACCCGAGTTCAATCCCCGGTCCCAAAACAAAAAACAACAACAACAACAAAAAAGCCAGGACTAGGGATTTAGCTCAGTGGTTCTGCCACCTTCCTCGCAAGAGCAAGGACCCAAATTTGATTCCTGGTACCAAAACAAACAAAACCAAACCAAGCACCAGAAAAAAAAGAATTACAAAGTCATTTTAATCTCTCAACCTTTTTAGAGTTATAACCTGAAAGTTTAGATATTTAAAAAGTAGAGGCTAAGATGGATGTGGTGGCACATGCCTCCTGTAATCCCACCATTCTGGGAGGCTGAGGCAAGATAATCTCAAGCTTGTGCCTAGCTTGTCCAGCTGAGCAACATAGCAACACCTGGTCTCAAAATAAAAAAAGATTTGAAGATGTAGTTCAGTTGTAAAGTGTCTCTGAATCTTTCTGCTAATTAAATTGAAAGAAAAAATTTTTGAAAAAGTCTCTCCTAGCTACTGTCTCCCTGCAGGATTCTGCTGCGTACTCTACAAAAAATAAATCAGATTTTCCTGATTTTTAGAAAAATTGTTCTAAGATTTTTACTTCAGCTTTTAGTGGACTCACCCTAGAGTAGGCAGTGTGTACCAGATTTTGTACTCTGAGGGCAGTGTCTAATCTGCAGGGTTACTGACTGGAGCGGTAAGGGCCTGAGTCAGCAGCTCCCTATGGATGACCACGGGTCTTAGCAGTGATCCAGACCACCTTGAATTCAGCTGATGGTGAGATGGTCACTTCCCCAGTGTGACATTTTCTCACAGTGACCAGCAAGTCACCTGTTGTCGACCCGTTGTTGTCAGTATAGCTGGTCAGTGACTTGACAAAGACAGAATGATCACTGCTGTCCTTATTTATTTAGTTAGTTAGTTAGGGGATTTTTGGTTGGTTGGTTGGTTTTTGTTTGTTTTTAATTTTTCTCTTATATGGGCACAAGTGAAGCCCTCCTGTGGCCTACTCTCTAGAAGGCTTCTCTGCTGTTAGCAAGGGAAACATAAGGCAGCCGGGAGACCATCAGGGTCTCACTTGAGCTCTTTACCCACAGGACTCCCAAGTGGTTGGAATTCTTGAAATCTGGCTCGGGGGCTCAGGGCAGTGTCCCCAGAGGAGCACTTTGTGGGCTGTTTGCTGCCAGCGCTGGGGCGGCCCAAGCATTGATTTCTCAAAATTGTGCACAGTGGGTTTGATGGTTTGCATGAGGGGACCTGACCTACAGAGCCACGTAAAGCTTGATTGTTTTAATGTTTGGGTTTTTAATTTTTAAAAATATTCTAGGGGAGGGATCAGGGATTTAGTTAGTGGTTCTGCCACCTGCTTCACTAAGTGCAAGGACCCGAGTTTGATCCCTGGTACAAAAAAAAAAAAAAAATTCTAGGGATAAGACAAGGAACACTTGTTTTTTTTCTTTTTTTGTTGTGGGGTTCTCTTCAGAAATTTTCTTGCTTATTGGAAAATAGACCACATTCCATCAACTCTCCCTTGCCATGAAGTCTCCTGTTTTGTTTTGTTTTGTTTGAGACAGGGTCTCACTGTGTAGTTCAGGCTGCCTTGAACTCTCTATGTAGCCCCAGGCTGGTCTCGAACTCACAGCAATCCTCCTGCCTCAGCCTCCGGAGTGCTGGGGTTACAGGTGTGTGCCACCACACCCTCCCTGTTCTCCATGTCTTAATTGTCATAGTGCCTTTTAAGTCCTACAAGTCAGGGCAGTTGTCTTGGAAAATCTGTTAGCTGGCTATCAGTGTTCTACAAGGTGTCCTTTACATGTTTAGTTCCTCCAGAAGGGCAGAATGCTACAAAAGCTCCACTAACTTCAGTTTTTCCCTACCAGTTGCTTTTCGGCTGTACGATCTGGATAAAGATGACAAGATCTCCCGTGATGAACTGTTACAGGTATGTGGGAGCACTCCATGGAGACTTGTGTTTTGGGCCCTGGCTGCTTATTTTTGTGGGCAGTAATTGTTCCTCCTGTCACCAAGCATTTTTTAACACCTGCTGTGTACAGAATCCTGTACTAGATGAAAGGCGAGCATATCACCTGGGGAAATTTGAAGTGGCTCATTGAGTTACTGCAGGCATGTTTCCGCCATTTACAAGCTGCCTGAGTGTCTGCAGTGCCTGACTAACAGGTGAAATATGTGACATGGGTTTAGGTCATGGGTGTCCACCCTTTTGGCTTGCCTGGGCAAGATAAAGAGAACTTGGGCCACCTATGAAATATATAATGTAGTCAATGTATGTATGTAATAAAACTAGCTGGGTGTGGTGGTACACACCTGAGGCTAAGGCAGGAGGATTGCACTGAGTTCCAGGCCACCTTGGCTGAACTACACAGTTGAGACCCTGTCTCAAAATAAAAAAATTAAAGAGTAACAAAATCATTTTTTCCTGTTTATTCATTTGTAGTTATTTTTATTTGTAGCACAAGGGATTGAACCCCAGGCCTTTGCCCTGAGGTACATACGTCCCCAGCCCTTTTTTATTTTGAGACAGGCTCTCCAAGTTACCCAAGCTGGACTAGAACTTGCTGTCCTGCCTAAGCCTCCCAGAGTGCTCTGATTATAGACATTCACCACTACTCCCCACTATGTCAAAACATTATTTATTTATTCATTCATTCATTCATTCATTCAGTACTGGGGATTGAAATCAGGACCTTGTGCTTGTGAGGCAGTCAGCGGAACCATTGAGCTACATCCCTGGCCCAAAAAATTATTGACCTAATTTTAGTCTTCATGTGCTTCATGCTTCAAAATAGTTGTTCACAAATGTCTATATTGCCAAAAAGAGAAAATCACAAATTCAAGCTCTGCCTAAGCAATATAATGACTTAGGAAGACCATGTCTCAAAATTTTAAAAAATTTAAAATGCTGGGGACATAGCTCAGTGCAAAGAAATAGAAATAACTGAGCATGGTGGCACACGCCTATAATCCCAGCACTCAGGAAGCTGAGGCAGGAGGATCGCTATGAGTTCAAGACCAGCCTGGGCTATATAGTGAGTTCCAGGTCAGTCTCAGCTACATAGTGAGACCCTGTCTCAAAACAAAACAAAAGAAATAGAAATAGAAGTTGATTCGGAGTTGCTCCTTCATGGGCTCCTGAAGTCTTGAGAGATCCTCTGGTCCAGATCTGGCTGCCAAAATGATGTTTGGGTGTGGAGGGCCCACTTATTTTCTACTGTGAGGCAAAGAAATCCTGGGGCAGGAGTGGGGGGAGACCATGTGACTCAGTGCCACCAGAGTGTCCTGGGCCCCAGAATGAAGGGAACACGTACCCCTAGACTCTCGGGGTACCAGACAGCTAGTTCTATCCAAGCACAAAGAGGATATGAACATCTTGCCAAAGTGAGAGAAAGAACAAAGTTTATCTCTCTAGATGCTGCAATTTCTGAAGCATTTGCCACTTTGCAGTTCTTAGTTACTTGGTGGGTGTTGAAAAGTTTGTGGTAAGTTTATCCTAAGGACTAGTCATGTTTTATTTTGTTCTGTTTTGTTCATATAGAGTCTTGCTATGTAATTCAAGCTGGCCTTGAACTCACTGTTTAGCCCAAGCTGGCTTGAACTTGGCAATAAGCCTCCTGGCTCAGCCTTCCTAATACTGGGATTACAGACGCCCTAATTGCACGCCTGGCGTAAGAAATCATATTTCTTAATATGATTCTTGAGAAATATCCTGGTTGAACTTTTGGAGGGTTTGGGTTTTTTATAATTTATTTGGAGGGGTCAATTTTAAATAGATACTGTTGTATATTGTTTATACTTCAATGTAGTTGATGGGCGGGGTATGTATGTAGCTCAGTGTCGCAAGGTCTTGAGTTCAATTCCTGATACCCAAAAAAAGGTAGTTGCTGCACTCTTAACTCATTTTATGAGACTAACATGACTTTGACATAAAAACCTTGTAACAATACTAAAAGAAAAGAAGGCCAAGGATATATCTCAGGGGTACCACGCCTGCCTGGCAAGCACAAGGTCCTGGGTTTGATCCCCATTACCGAAATAAAAAAAAGAAATATAAGTCATTATGCAGTAAAGGAAAGAAATTTACAGCCCAACCTCTTTTATTTAAATACATGTAAAAAATTCTAAAACAAAAGCTGGACACCATGGCACATGCCTATAATCCCAGCTACATGAGGATAGACAGGAGGATTGTGCGTTTGAGGCCAGCGTGGACAACTTGGTGACATTAGCAACAACCTGTCTCAAAAAATAAAAAGGCTAGCGATGTAGCTCAGTGGTAAAACATCCCTAGGTTTGTTCTCCTCTGCCCCTCCCCCAAAAAAGAATCTTAAACTGTTGCTGGGTGTGGTAGTTATGGTTGAAATTCAAAGATCAGTCATTACCATGTTACACTAAGGAAAAGAACTTGGTCTTTTCCATTGAAAAAAGCATTTAATAAAATTCATAATTTTAAATAAATTTTTTTTTTTTTGATACAGGGTCTTACTATATAATTGAGACTGACCTGGAACTTACTGTGTAGCCCAGGCTAGTCTCAAACTCACAACCATCCTCCTGCCTCAGCCTCCTGCGTGCTGGAATTACAGGCGTGCACTACCACGCCTGGCTTTAAATAACTTTTAAAACCAGAAATAACAGGAACTTTTCTTAAATTGACACTGACTATATACAAAAACCCTCACCAAGCCAGGCATGGTGGTGCATGGCTATAATCCCGGCACTCAGAAGGCAAAAAGATGTCTGTGAGTTCAAGGCCAGCCTGAACTACAGAGCAAGACTCTGTCTCAAAAAGCCAAACCAGGACCAGGGATTTAGCTCAGTGGTGCTGCACCTGCCTGGCAAGCACAAGGTCCTAAGGTTGATCCTGGTACCAGACAAAACAGTACCTCTTACCAGCCAGGCATGGTGGCATAGGCCTTTAGTACCAGCACTCAACATGCTAGTTTCCCACTTGTTAATAAACTTCCCAGGGGAACAGTGAGTGGCAGCCTGAGCTGAGGGAGGAATCCTGAGCTGAAATGGAGACCTCAACAGACAGCTACTGACACTGGTTACTGGGACCCAAATCAGCCCATCTCTGGGTCCTTGGGTCTTTAGTAGACCAGGTGCAATGATGTTTCAGATGCACCATAGCCATCCCCCACTTGTATGTGCTGCAAACTGCACATACATAACCCAGTCTGAGATTCTAAAAATAAAATACATAGAATATGATGGGACCAAGAGCTGAACAGGCTACAGTGTGAAGATGGATTCCTGTTTGGCCATTCTGTCAGGGTAGAGAGCAGTGGTTTGGCCCAAGTGGTCTTTGCTAGATCTGCCTTTTTAAAAATCTTTTAGGCCCAGGGATTATTCAGTGGTTCTGCTGCCTGCCTCTCAAGTGCAAGGTCCCGAGTTTGATCACCAGTACTAAAAAACAAAAATGAAAAATAAATTTTTTAAAGAGTGCATAGCCCTGGGTTCAATCCCCAGTGCTGAAAAATAAACAAGAAAACTTGTGGCAAGTAGGTTCTTCATTATGCTTGATAGTGAAATAATGTTAAATTCTCTGCTCAATTCTGAAAGTCCTTTAGGTTTGCTTATCATCACTGGGCATGGTGACACATCTATAATCCCAGCAGTAGAGAGGCTGAGGAGGATTACAAGATCAAAGACAGCTTGGGCTACATACATAGCAAGTTCAAAGCCAGCATGGACTACATAGCAGTACCCTGTCTCAAAAATAAGTGCTTGAGCTGGGGATTTAGTTCAGTGGAGCTGTGCCTGTCTCTCAAGTGCAAGGTCCTGAGTTCAATCCCCGGTACTGCGGGGGGGGAAAGTATTTATTGTTTTTCGAAGGGGGGACCTCGGCATGTACAGTAACCCTTTATGCTTCTTGGCTTAATATGCTTCCTCAAAAGGAGACTGCCTTGGGAAGGGATTCCAGAAAGTTCCATCAAACTGAACTTGTTTGCCTTATGTAATAGAAGTCTGGGAATAGGTTGACTAGACTGGTACAGTAACTGCATAATATCCAGGTGCTTGGGTGCTGCTCTATTTTTGCTCTGGCCCATGTAGCACATATGATACCCCTCAGAGCCCCAAAATGGCTACTGTGCCTCTACATCTGCAACCTGTGCAGGAAGAATAGGAACCAGCAAAATGCAAAGGACTCTCTCCTGGTGAGGTGTTACCTTCCTATTCAGTGCCTTGGTCCACATCCTTGCCTCAAATAGCCCAGATGAAGAGGAGACAGTTTTCTGGCTGTTAAATGTAAGAGCATCAGAGGAAAGAGAGTTGAGGCAGCTTTCATTTTAATCTAGTCAAGTCCCTGTGATTCTCAAATTCCCAGCAGTGCCCAACTCTTGACCTTGTAGGTGCTACGCATGATGGTTGGTGTGAACATCTCAGATGAGCAGCTGGGCAGCATTGCAGACAGGACCATCCAGGAGGCTGACCAGGATGGGGACAGTGCCATATCATTCACAGAGTTTGTTAAGGTCAGTCAGTCACCTCTTATTTTGAAAAAGTTAAATTGTAGGAGGTTGGAGAAGATATTATTTGGGAAAATACTTGGGGTGGTTTTTTGCTTCCTAACTGTAACTGGGTTTGATTTTCTTATTCCAGGTTTTGGAGAAGGTGGATGTAGAACAGAAAATGAGCATCCGGTTTCTTCACTAAAGGACACAGACCAAACTATTCCTTGGTGTCTAGTATTTAAGAACTGGAACTTTAAGAGTCCTCCTGTCTGCCCGCCCCATCTCTCCCCTTCTCCCGAAGTACCACTGTGGTTGCATGGTGACCCCAAACGTCTGCCCATCCAGACCCTCCCTGTATATAAACTTGCCTTACAGAAGGGTACATCCGGCCTCTTTCTGTTCAGTAGCTGTCCACCACCTCTTTATTTCTTGGCACCATCTTTCCTTCTTGTGCTGTGAAACGCCACCCATCCATCCAGTCTGAGAAGGGGAGAGGGAATCATGCCCAGAACGGGCCAGCAGAGCTTTCGCTGGGTGGAGATGTAGCTGTGCTGCCTTCGCTGCAGCGAGGTTCCTCCTGTGCATCCTTGGCTTTCCATTTCCTTCTCACCCAACCTACCATCCTGCTGAGCCTCACAGTGCCCCCCGTTCTACCTGACGCCCAAAGCTATGCCTGTTAAATCTGTTTCTGACTTGGCAGAATGGTTCAGAGGTCTGGCCGTTTTTATCTACCTTCCCTCTTAAATGGGTCTCTGGGATGCTGCCTTTCTAGGTAGGAGCCTTCCAGGAACCAACACTTCTCTTGGAGGAATGTGACCCTCTCTTGTCTCTTGCACTGTTTGTCACCAAAGGGCTTCTAAGTGGAAATGTCCTTGAAAGGTCACCTTGGTGGCTTGCCCGGGTTACTCTACCTCTGGCTTCTGATTCTCAGCTTACACACCTACATGGCTTCTCTTGTGAGTGCTATGCTAACTGTTCAGAAAATGGTCACAGTTCTGCAGGTCTGCTTAGCTTTGGGTCACTGTCCACACCAGAGTGACTGCAGAGCTGCTGGGAACGTTTCATGGCTCTTTGAGCAAGGAAACTGGGAGCCCTTAGCACGTCCTGCACTCACACTGCAGCATGGCATATGTCTTGGTGTGATGACACTGGAAGATCTCGCCCTTTTACATTTCCAAGTAGAGCGACTAGTGTCACGGAAGTGCCTAACATCCCAGTCCAAGAGAATTAAAGATTAGCCTCAGTGTCCTGAAGTTCTGCACAAAATTCTTTGGTGGGGGGATACTGGGAATCAAACTCGGGACCTTGCGTTTGTGAAGCAGGCATGGAGCTAAATCCCTGGCCCACAAAATTCTATAGAATCTTATACTTGGCAGTTGTTAATGTGGAAGCCATAGTCAGCTCCTACTATAGCCCAAAGCATTGAATGTATTGTCGTCTTTGCTGCCTGGTTACATGACCCTCCTAGCTCCTGTCTCGACTACTACTAATCCCTTGGGGTCAAGGGGTCTGGCAATGGTGGCATTGAGGTCATGAAGTGAGCCAGAGCAATTTCTCTGCCAAAGCCAGCTCAGATCCTGTTGAATTGGGCCATTGCCATCTTCTGTCTTGTGAGTCCCTTTGTCCATACATCTGTCTTTTGCTGACTGTGACTGGCTGCTGCTTGCTTGTTCCCTTGCTGTCCCAGATGTGCGAACCATTCTTTAGGAGATGAACTGCTAAAAAATAACCAGTGCAAAGGGATGAACAAAGGTGGGAAATGGGAGTGGCCAGGCTGGATGGTGTAAGTATAAATGCAAAGGAATTCTTTATGAGGTATCACCCTAGCTCCGTGAGCAAAGTGAAGTGATAACAGGAATTATACAAAGGGAAGAACTGTATGCTAGTGACCTGTTAGGAGTTAGAAACTCTTCCTAAGATTATGGCTCCCCCCTCCCCACATCTGTCTGTATAGCAAACTGTTTTAATCCACAGTTGTGCCTTACTGTCCCATTAAAATTGTATTGTTTGATCTGTCAATAAATACTTGGGGTTAAAACGAGATGACTTGGGGCTTTTCCCTGTGTCTTTACAGGAATTTTGTGTAGCTCAGTCTCAGGTCTGTGTGTGCGCCTTGTGGTGCAGGGGACTCTGCTTATTCCCAGCCTGTAAGATTCACCCCGAGGCTCACACTGTCTGCTTCCATGCTGCACAGCTTTCTCACCCTTTTCCTCTTCCTCTTCATTCCAGGTAAAATTCAACTTCTTTTCTTGTCTCCCTAGAGCCATGAAGGGGACTTTACAAAAAAGGAGATGCTAAGAAAAACTGGATAGCCCATAGACGGATAACCCAAAGCAGCCTGCCTATTCTCCCCAAAGGTTTTTTAACCAAAGTCAGTAAGACAGACCTCAAGTCTGGGGTCCCAAGCAGTCTCTTATCTCGGTCATGCAGTCCTGGGGGTCTTGGCTGCAAGAAGCAAATCCTCAAAATATTGAAGAACAGACAACTTAGGATGGTTTGCTCGGAACTTGGTTAAGTCTCATCAAGTGCCTCTCCAAAAAGAGTGGGAGAGTTCTTGAAGCCCTGTGGTAGATGGGTCCGTGTGAGTTAACCCGTCTACCCTGTCAGGATCTGTCCATTTATTTATTTATTTTTATTTTTGGGGCACCAGGGATCGAACTCAGGCCCTTGCACTTGCAAGGCAGGCGGCAGAATCACTGAGCTAAGTCCCCAGCCTGGGGATCTGTCCATTTAAAAGCAAAGATTAGGGCCAGGGATTTAGCTCAGTGATTCATTTAGTTCCATTGCCCCCCTCGCAAGTGCAAGGTCCCTGAGTTCAGTCCCAGGTACAAAGATAAAAAGCAGATGGGCTGACTCACAGTGGCTAGTGGGATGCTGGAGAAAGCATCCGTCAGATCCGATACAGTCCTCCAACAGTCTTGTTTTCCCCCGTGGCCCTTGCATAGTGGCAGACTAGCCTGAGAGTGGCCCCTACTATTGTAGTGACCATGGGCTCCTGGGGGCCAAAAGCAAAGAAGCCCTGGCCCCATCCATCTTTTCCTTCTCCCTTGGCAGAACTAAAGCTCTTTTTTTATTTCCTCTCCAGTGTCCAAACTGGCTGAACCTAGCACATTGATCCCTTTCTAATTGGGGCCACCCCTTCTTGGCCCTTATGACTGCAGCTAAAATACTTGCCTGCCTTTTTATTTTTTTGTGGTACTGGGGATTGAACTCGGGACCTTGCACTTGTGAAGCAGGCAGCAGAACCACTGAGCTAAATCCCCAGCCCTTGCCTGCCTTTTTAGACAAAATTTCAGCCTGCCTTCTGGACACTAGCTGGGCTTGTTTCTGCTTTTCTGAGTCTCAGTTACCATAAACCTTCTGAGCTGTTTCAGCAACTGGCAAGTATTCATTCCTGCAAACACTTTTACTTTCTGTAACTTTTTCCTAATATCAGGAGTGGACTGTCAGACAAAAGCCAAATGCACTGCCTGAGTATTTTCAGAGGTCAGTAGATCGAAAGGATCATACACCTGGACAGCCTCCAGGAGTCGCTCGAGGAATGTTCCTGGAGTCTCATTTGGCCCCTGAATTACATCGGTGGTCATAGACTAATAGGCTTCTGAGCCACCGCTCACAACCGTGGTACTTTTTCAAGGCTTCCCTCCCCTCTTTCATACTTGTCCTCCACTCACGTCGAGTGGAAGGAAAAAACCTGGTTAATCCTGGCCCAGTGAGTCTCCTCCGATTCTCCGGCTGGGACCAGAGACTTCCAAGTGGCTGCTGTGACCCTTCCCTTTTTTTCCCAGTAAATGGTGTTATCAATAATTGTGAACAGTCATCCCAGTTAGATTGATGGGTTTGGAGGGCAGAGTCCATGAGATCTGGCACAGCCTGAGGTTTTTTTCAGAGAAATGGAGGAATTGGGGATTTCCAGTTGAACAGATCAGAGGGAATATTTACTAGAAAGGATGGTCAGAGTTTCCGTTTGCCTCAAGGAAAGGAAGGTGGCAGGCAGACTGTCCTTCCGGCCGATCCCGACACCTCAGATAACAGGGGACCTGAGAAAACCTCCCTGGGGCTGAGGGTCCTGAGGAAGAGACTTTAGGAGAGGCCACAGGTCTAGGGGTGTTAGATGGGGGAGGCAGTTCATCATTCCCATCATCCGACAGCAGTAGGACCCAGGGGAGTCGACAAATCCCAGGGAGCTGAGCCGGTGACTAGGACTGGCGCTGCAGGCCAATGCCTGGCACAGGCCCACGGCCAAGGCAGAGGGTGAGGGTCAGTGACAACCAGGAGTCGCTGTAAGGGTACTGATCAGGGTGGCCTGGTTTCCTGGGCATTACATCCCATATTCCACAGGCTACCTGAGGATCAAAAGACTCTATATCTGGGCCACTGTATTTCACTTAGGGAGCGCAGTCGGCTCATTTTAGAGTCACACCATGTCGGCCAGATAAACCCTCAGAGAAGTGAGATGACTTGCAGTGGAGGGGAGTTTGGGATTTAACCTGGGAACCTCCCATAATAAAAGGAAAAAACACAATCAGGCAAGGAGTCAAGAAAAGGATCTAAAGAAATCATGAGGGCTGGGGATTTAGCTCAGTGTGCCACCACCTGTCTTGCAAGCACAAGGTCCTGAGTTTGATCCCAGATACAAAAAACAAAAAATAAAAAAATCTTGAATTTAAGAGGAGTCCTGGTCTGAGGAATGATGAGATGACATATGAGTCTGTCTTGAGTCCTGGACATCCAAAAAACTGACCTAAAGCTAGGCGTGGTGGCACACACCTATAATCCCAGCACTTGGGAGGCTGAGGCAGGAGGATCGCTGTGAACTCAAGAGCAGCCTGGGCTACATAGTGAGTTCCAGGTCAGTCTCAACTACATAGTGAGACCCTGTTGCAAAAAAAAAAAAAAAAAAAAAAAGCTGACCTATAGGCCAAAAGTGGGTCATTAAGGGTTAAGGAGAGCCCAAAGATGGTGCAGAAGGGAATTTCCAAGAGAGTGCCAGTGGCACCAATTTCCCTAAAGACAAGACTGATGCAGGAGAAAAAGACCTCCCTTATATGTGGCAAGGGCTATAGTCAACCTCTAGTTATAAATAAGGCACCAGGGCAGGCTGGGGAACAGAGCAGGTTGAAAATCAGGACCTCAGTATTTATTTTTTTTCTTTTCTCATTGAGTTTTCAGTATTTCTTCATGTGACCACAGTAAGGGTGATAATGCCATTCCTCAAAACAAATGAATTTCAGAAAAAATAACCTTATTCCTTAATGGCCCTAGGGGTGGCTAGAAGACAGAGTTCGTAAGGAGGGAGGCTGCAGGACCAAGGGAAGGCAGAAATCAGATTAAGGTTAGGGGTGGGTGACTGAAACCTTTAGGGCCCAACCTAACTGCAGCCTAAAGTTTATATGAAAACAAATGTGAAACTTTAGGAGAGGCCCTCTCATAAAATCTTTACGGTATAAAATGAAGGGGGCATTTTCCAAGAGGGAAAACAGGCAAATGACAGATGAATTAGGAGAACTTTACCTTCCCCAGGACACAAAGCTACAGCAGGAATTGACCTTGTGACAAGAAGAGGTTAGACACGGAGGAGGTGCCAAACACTTAAGACCAAGACAAAAGGGACAACTCCTTTGAACCAAAACCAAGTCTCTGAATTAACTCTATCTTATCCCTTCCTAGTTTTCTCTCATCAAGCGTCAAAAAGAAGTCAGGTCCGAGGCGACAGGGACACAAGACAATCAGATGTGAAACAAAACTTTCAGCCGTCACTCGGCTACCTGTGATCGCTACCACTGGCCACTGGGGGGGTCGCTCAGCTTGAGTCCTCGATCACCCAGGGACTTCCCCAGTCGACCTCCCGACCTTTTATCTGAAGTTTTTGGTGTGTTTTTGGTACCGGGAACGAACTCGGGACCTTGCATTTGTGAGGCAGGCGGTGGAACCACTGAGCTACATGCCCAGCTCCCAACTTTTACTTGGGACCGTCCATAAGGGCCCACCACAGGGTAGTCCTCCCAAAACCAAAACAGAAAAACAAAACCATAAACAGACAAGAGATTTATCTCCAAGAGGAGGATTTAACATACATTTTAAGACGGTAGGCCCAGACTTAGCCTCCGCACATGGTGTTTAATGTATGTATTGAGCCTACAATCTGTACAATGGAGTAACAGAAACGGTAAATATGGAGGAAGTGGGTGGGGAAACGTGCCGGTGACGAGAGGTGGAACAAAAGGCGTATCTTAAGTGCCAATCAGAGGGCTTGGGTCCAGAGACTTGATGTGAGCAGTACCCAGGGAGATAAAATGTCTTTCCCTGTACCACCCGTTTGGCCTGGTCCCAGAAGATAACTTTTTTGTACGGAATGGATACCTGGCTGGGGATTCAGCTCGGTGGTTCCGCCGCCTGCCTTGCAATCGCAAGGACCGGAGTTCGATCCCGGTACCAAAAAAAAAAAAAAACAAAAATAAAAAACCCAGAATGGATACTCTGAAGGTCAGTAAGATAAGCGACAGATAAGCAAGACCCCCTCTGAGTCAGACGTTCAGCAGAAAGCTTGAGAAAAACTGTGGGCCCAAGGTCTTTGGACTGAACGGCCTCCCGGACTAGGAGCTGAGCTGAGCCGAGCTCAGGACAGACCTAACCCTCCTTTCAGAGAAGACACGTGCTCCTTCGTTGTGGGCCATGGGCAAATCAGTGTATTGTTTTTATTGATCTCTACAAGCATTCACTCACTCATACATCAACCACACAGAGTTCAAACATCCCCCCAGCCCCACCCCCGTTACTGACTGACAACAGAATTCAAACAGAATAAGCTTTTTTTTTTGTACTGGGGATTTAACTTGGAACCTTACACTTTCAAGGCAGGCAGCAGAACCGTTGAGCTAAATGCCCAGTCCCAGAATAAACATTCTTTTGTTGTTGTTTGTTTGTTTTTTGAGACAGGGTCTCACTATGTAGTTGAGACTCACCTGGAACTCACTATGTAGCCCAGGCTGGTCTCGAACTCACAGCGATCCTCCTGCCTCAGCCTCCCAAGTGCTGTGATTACAGGTGTGCACCACCAAAATAAGCATTTTTAAAGCCAAAGCCAAACAGAATGCTTATCGGGTTGATCAGGCCCCATGCCACCCGTTACAGTGGACATCCAGAACCAGAGCCAACTAAAGAGAGTGCCCAGGGGAGTTAGCTCTGATGGCCAATTACCACCCAAACAATGTGTCCTTGGTCCCATTGAGTTTGGTGACCACTACATGGTGGACAGAGGCCCCTCCCCAGTCCCAGAGAGATGGATAAATCTTCAAGGGTGTGTCATCTCTTCACAGTTTTGGGGGAGGGTCGCCATTCCCCTCTGCGGGGGTTACGACTGATGATCAAATGATCAGTGCAGTTGATCATCCCGGATGAGTCCCCACGTGAAACAGCAAAATTCTCCACTCAGCTGAATTAGCTCCTTACCTTTAGTCTGACGATGGAAACCACACCAGGAGCCGTGGAGACAAAGTGATAGCTTTATTTACACTGGCGGACCAGTCTGCCAGTTCGCATTCCCACTTGGGGGACTGGACCTGTCCAGAGCTCAGCGGAGGAGGATATACTCTTTGGAAGGGGTGGGGCTGCAGATAGGGCACGTCTGACGTACATTCATTGGTTCCATAGTCTGAAAATTTGTTAGCATGTGGGTTCATCTGTACCCAGGCGTGTGAGGCAGGACAGACCTGGACAAGTTGAGCAAAGGAAATTTCAAGTAGGGAATTTCCCATAGTGAGTCCAGCTCGAACGATGGAGACAAAATTCCCCTTTCAACATAAATGTGCCAAGCTTATAGACAGATTGGAATTCTTAGCCATTGCTGATGGAAAAGTAAAAGAGTACCACCAATTTGGAAAACAATTCTTCTGCTGGATTGTTACTACATCTGCAGTGTGATTCCTGGGGACACACCAGAGACAAAAACATCTGTTCAGAGCGAAAACAAACACTTGCCCAAGAATGTCCATAGTAGCATTATTCTGATAGCCAGTCTGGGTCTGTTTGCGAAACTGACTCCATTTGGGTAAAGTCCAGTGATTCCCTGCTGTGGCCTTCCCCTTCCTCCTCGGGAGACCACACATCCTGTGTGTGTCTGCAACTATGTTATCTTTACTACCTTGTAAACAGAAGACCTGCACCTATGTGATCCTTTGTTTTAACTAAACTGTGTGAAACTGTCCCTGACCCCCACTGACTTAGCAGAGTTCTGCTCCTGTGAATTTCTGCTTGTGCTCCTCCCCTCTGTTCCCTACCCAAGTAGAAGAGTCCTTAAAAGGACCCTGCAAACTGCCTTTCCTTTGTCCAGAGTTTTTGGAGGCCTGAGCCCACTTTGGACCGCTGTCTATGATGATAAAGGATTCCATTTAATTCAGAGTGTGGTGCATCTCTATAGTTCCAACTCACCAGACCTTATAACAATTCACCTTAGTCAAAAAGTAGAAGCCAGGCCTGATGTTGCATACTTGTAAACCAGCTAACATGAATGAAATAATTGTGTGTGTGTGTGTGTGTGTGTGTGTGTGTGTGTGTGTGTGTGTGTGTGTGTGTGTGTGAGAGGGGGTTTTGCTCTGTAG